GCTTACTACAGCTAGTTGAAGTACATATAATACAAGACTTTGCAACCCCACTTGTCGCTCAGATGTCCACTTGTCACTCAGATGTTCTGGTATCTTATCCTGAGCAGCATAAACTGTTCTAATCTCTGATGAGATCGCTTGAGGTGGTCCCGGACTAGTTAAGAAGCCCATCTGATGGCCAATAAGTGAAGTCGTCCTCCCCGTTGTTGACGGCGGCTGTTGGATGGTGCCCCCTTCATGCTACTTGCATTATTCTCCATGTGTTTTTGTTGAATTCACGAAGGTTAATAAAGAAGAGTCGAACAGAGATACGTACCGATCCCTAGTGCTTATTTGACCATCCTGTGACACGGCGGCAGCGGCTTAACAAATGGTGTCAGAAGTGGGATCTCTGTTCGTGAAGACAATTCTGGATTTCAGTGAAAATGGTGGCGGAGAAAAAAGACCTAATTCAAGCTCTCCTCTCAGCAATGAAAGGGTTCAACGAAATCTGTGGGTAGAGCAATCAGCGATATTCAGAGAAGGTCGCCCGATGGCAGGACGCTCAAAAGGCAATGCTTGGCAAAATGGAGAACGCCCTATAGAAGATAGGTGGTGTGATAGAGCTCACTAGAAATGGTGGCATGAAGAAGGAAATCATCCAGACCGGTTGTGTAGCGAAGGAGAGTGAACAGAGCGCTCCCGACAACGGCGCTGTGGCAGGAGTATCTTAAACCAAGTCAAGCGCACAGAGGGAAATGTCCCCCAGATGTTTCATGAGGGAATCCTACTCTCGGGATCCCATCTGGAAATCTCCGTGAGACCATCGGCATTAATGGTGAGCTGCAATACGATGGTGTGACGGACTGCTGCGACGAGGCCAGACAGAGGAGATCCAACTGGGCGTGACGGAGCTGGGCGCTTCGTGGAAGAGCGACAAAACTGGATGGTCGAAGCACACCGCAGTTGGAGCCAGCGGAGCCTTTGGTGCTCCAGGTAAGTTCCACGACAATGTATACGACCAGGACGTCCTATGTAATGTGTCAGCGCTGCCGTCTGCATTCCACTCTGGGGTAAGCCATGTACTTTGGCCCGTCATCTCTTTTTCATCCGACAAGGTGTAAGGCAAACAGTCATTGCCTAGAAATAGTTCTGCTGTAATTGAGACTACCATGCAGCCCGACGACTTTAACACTTTTGAATAGTCCATAGTCCAGTACAAGGTCGGCACGAAAAGGGCCAAGTCTAAAACTCTTAAAAGGATAAAACTTATAGAGAAAGAAAACGGGAGGCTGACAGAGGATTTAACCCAGCAAAGAATCTGCCTCGACAATCTCAGGGAGCCTGACATGGACGAATGTGTGCTGGACAGGCACGGGGAGGCACATCGGGAAGACACTTCTACGGTAAATAAAGACAACCTACAGCACCGCCGTAGGCAGAAACGACGAGAGCGCAATATAAAAGTTTCTAACGTTACTGAATTGGCGGCCGCGGCTACAGGATGTGCGAAAGGAGAAAACCAAGCCACAGATGACATCATCGAAAGGAATGAACTATGGTCGTCATTATGTGAAGAACCACCACCTTGTGATAGGCCGGTCACTCGACAGCAAGGGTTGACAATGATTGAGAGTGGAAAGAGGGCCAGAGTTGGAACATCGTGAAACAAACAATGCGTGACACTATAATCCTGGAGTTACGTTTTAAGAACTGCAGACAAGCCTTATGTATTTCAAGAAATTCAGGAGTTTAAAGAACCTCCCGAAGACTGGAGAGGAGGAATGCCCTGTTTGGGACAAACAGTTATTTTTTTAAGGATGAGAATAGTGTTACGACGAGAAAGCTTCGCCGTGGTGACAAGCAAGATCAGTTCGACCACATGTGTCCACCCTCAAGCATAGCTGAGGAGGATGGGGCAGGCGGACCAGCGAAGGAAAAAGCCCATCTGGTGGCCAAGAAGTGAAGTCGTGTTCCCTGTTGTTGACGGCGGCTGTTGAAGATGTTCCCTGCATGCCACTTGCTTTGTTCTTCATGTTGTTTGTGTTGTTGTTGTTGTGTTTGTGTGTGTATTTGTGTTGTTGTTTGTGTCGTGTTTTGTTTTGTGTGTGTGTTTTGGTTGTGTTGTTGTGTGTATGCACGAAGGTAAATAAGAGTCGAACAGAGATCCTTTCTGATCTCGCGTACCCATCATTTGGCCTTCCTTGACACGGCGGCGTGTAAATATATATGAGATATTTAATTCCCAATTTCATCCATTTGATTTTTTAAAATTTATTAATTAACCAGGCGTTATATTAAAATATTTGCGCCTAATACAGAGAAACAAAACAACAAACAAATTATAGCTTAGAATTAAATATTTTTCAAATTAACATATATATAAAGTTAGCGACTGCTTTTATATGTGAAAAGCAGTTTGACTTGGCACTTATAAATGTGCCAGAGCCCCGTTTGTTTGCTTGAACTCGCTAGTGGCGTTAGACTTTTGCAAAATTCTGGGGCCATTGGAGATTTTTTTTAATTAGAAAAAAGTGGCCAATGCGAGATTCGATCCCGGGACAAAGCGGTCGAAAACCAATGATTTATATCATTCTTCCACCCTGTGGGGTTATCACATGTAATCCATTTTTGCGAACCAGCTTCAAAACTACATCTGCATCTTTTTTTCCCCTATGGCCTAATGCACTGTTTGCTTACATGAAATAAAGGCCTAGGTTCAAATCCTTGGTAACTTCTTTTTCATTAGTCTTGTAAGATAGCTAGCTACCTATATTCAGAGTGATGGCCTGACCAGTAATGCGATGCTGGTATATTTGTTATATATATTATATGAGTCCAGCAACACTGGGGTCAAGGAAGCGGGATATTTTGATATTTACAAATAGTAAGAGGGCATAATAGGCTTTTTGTATAAAGTTTATATATACTTTTAAACTCCTCCCTATTTTAACCTTATATATAGTTTTTTTTTTAATTTTTATTTTTTAACCTCATATATGTGCGTGTTTCTATTAAGTATTTTTCTTTGTGTTTAATAAATAACTCTGATGTACATTGAAAGATAGTTTTATTGGTCTAAAAATAAAATACGTTTAACCAAAAAGGACGGGTTAATTTCCCTCCCACAACATTTATTGCTAGCCGGCACAGCTTTAGGTCTCTACATGTGCCATAGATGAATAAATTTGTGGTCTGCTTTTCTGCAGCCACTGGCGCCCGAATATTTGGACATGTAGAGAGATTTGGAAATAGTTATTTAAAGACTACAACAACGTAAAACATATAAAACCATCACGATCTCAACATATTGAATCGTCTGTTTATAAAGAGAATTTAGCCCAATTGATTCTCAAAGAAATTTAACAGCAGACGATACGAGATCATAGCGAACCCCATCTCATGTAAGACTGGTACAAATAGATTCTACAGAGCAGTTACTAAAAGAATTCGGCAAGACCTAGCCCGATTTTAACATTTATCATTTCATTGTTTATTTTTAGTCTTTCGCTTTCAATGAATGCAATGTTGCATACATGTCCCGTTGAAAAAAAAAAAGTAAAGCCTCCATTCTTAGGATGAGGAATGTTTACATAAGTCGTGTGTTCTTAATAAAGGCTTATGTTTGTAAAATATAAAATATAAAAATATAAACGGTACCAATGCGTTTCTTTATTCGTGAAAATTGCAAGCTTTCGGATCTTTACAATCCTTCCACAGGCATAGCTGCATTGCTACCATTTATATTTTTACTAGCCGAATGACCCGGGCAACGCCCGTGTTTTACCCGATTGAATGTTTTTATTCAAATACTATTTGTTAAAATTATAAATTGGCGCCTTAAATAAATGCATATATTAGTTAATAACTATAGCCTATGTGCTTTATCTGTCTATGTACTGTTGGCTTCCGTAAGCGTCTCTTACTGGGAAAAAGAAAGAGAGGATTCCATTTAGTTATTAACTAATATATGCATTTATTTAAGGAGCGACCCGCGCTAACACAATAGTTACAAAAACGAAAAAGCGAGTGGGGGGGGCGCTAGGTGGCGTGATCTTAGCCAACCAATAGGAGAGCGCCATTCCAAAAAAAAAAAAAAAGCAAACGGTGACAGAGTTGAAAAATTATTAAGAACGCATGACGCTCGTAACTGTATATAGAATAGCTTATGTATATGGTTGGAAATCTGTATATTTCTGAGTCATTCTGGGAAACAACCTTCAGAGTAGTTCAGTAGGTGTATTTTATATTCAAGACAAGACTCTGAAGGTTGTTTCCCAGGATGACTCATAGCTTATGTATGTGCCATATGTAAAAATACCTGTGCTTTTATAATTTTATCTTTTGTCTTCATCGGACACTTATCATACAATCCGTGTTTGAAACTAATCGTTTTACCACGACAAAAATTACGAAGGTGAAAATTTCTTTAATTCTTCGAATTTTTCTCGTATTATATCTTCTTGATGATTATCTTTCATAACTTATTGCTTTCATTAGGTGTTTTCCTATATATATAATTTGTATTATAAGCATTATATGCAAATATAACATTCACTTTCTTTATACAGTAGAACCTCCATGTGAGAACACTCACGCTAGAGGACACCTCTCTACCAAGGACAGTTTTCATTTGCACAATTATCATTTTTATTATTTAGCAACTCTCCGGTAAGAGGACACCTCTCCCTAAAGGACACTTTGGCTCTGCAATTAGGTGTCTTTTATAGGGAGGTTCTACTGTACTTTATACCATACTAGGCGAATGACCCGGCTTCGCCCGAGAAATCCCTTGGGTGCAATTTCCTTCATACTAAAAGTATAGCAATAATAAATATTAGAAGTGCCATAGAATAGCAATACAGAAGTAACACATAAACTACAGGAAAAAGTGTGTGTGATGGCAAAAATTGTATTATATTATTGTTTAGGTATTTGATTTAATTAATATAGTTGATATAATAATATATTTTTATATTATATATAATATAAATGTGTTTTAAAAATTGTAAAAAAAAAAATGCATCGGCCGGGAATCGAACCCGGGCCGCCCGCGTGGCGCATTCTACCACTGAACCACCGATGCTTTAAAAAATGGCCATATTTAGGTATTCATTCCATTCCGGATTAGTCCGCGTAAAAAAAGTTCTTTAAATTAAAAAAAGAAATAGCCAAAAATACTAATCAAAATGCAGCCGAAAATTTTCCTCAGGTTTATAAAAAGCGACATGCAAAATTTGGTACCAATTGGTTCAGTAGTTTTTGAGTTTATCGCGAAACAGACAGACAGAAATTGACTTTTATATATATAGAGATGTCTTAATAAAGGTGGGTGTATCTATGTAATAGTATAAGATAACTCCTTATAGGAGAGAGATAGAGAGTTCCAAACTTAGATCCATCCGTACATTTGTAAACCCACATCTGGCACAGGATAATCGAAATAAGAAGGTAGGTACTGGAGTGGAGGTGACCTTACTCCAGAGATGTAAAGGTTGACGCAGATAAGCGTTGCTGGGCGACGCGGGCAGATAAGAGAGCAGTAAACGCTCCTGACTCACTCCATCCTGCGCTCTATTTGAAAACGTCCGTTCACTTATCTCAGGATGTTCACTTTTCCGGGTCTGACCTTTGGTATGATGGTAACTCTCAGTCACCGTGTGAGAAAGGCTTGAAGAGCTTTGATAGGTGGTTGAATGGTAGAGGGAACATGGAGTACAACACACAAGCATAACACACAACAACACAACTCCCTCGGCCACCGTTACTGGTGCTGCCGTTCCATCAGGCCTCTCATCAGAGAGGCCTTCAACATCATAGGGCGGCCCCCTGACCTGCAGGCTTGGATCTTCGGCGGGTCCGGCCTTGAGGACGACGCCCTTTCCATCCTGGCGTCGGCAAAGTTGCGAATCTATCGCTACTTTGTCCAGGTTGGGCTCGGAGAAGCGGTGGAGGACCCGCTTATCGCCTGGTCCCAGGACCCTCCAGCGTCGAGGTTTTCTTCTATCACCCCCCTTGTAAAATATGTATCATACATGTATTATATTTCTTTTTTTCATGTATATATTCTTTTCTTCTTTCTCTCTCATTGCCTTTGAAATGTAATATTGTCTAAGATGACAATAAATATTTTTAATTGTCAATTGTCACAACAACACAACACACATAACACACACACATACACAACACACAAAACACACACATCCCGTCATCGCCTGGAAGAGGATTCTCGCGCGTTGAGGAAGACTCCCTGGATCTTGTATATAATTTTCTCTTTTAATTTTTATCGATGTTTTTGATTTTGTAATCATTTGACTAAGATGTCAATAAATTATTTTTAATTCTCAATTGTCAATACATACCCAAACACACACAACAGGGCAGACCCCCTAATCTCCGGGCATGGATCTTCAGGACAGGCCTGGAGGATGACGAACTGGCCATCCTCTCATCGGCGAAGTCAAGAATCTACCGCTACTTCGTCTAGGTTGGACTGGGTGAGGCCATCAAGGACCCCGTCATCGCCTGGAGGCGGACACTATCGCGGAGGGGACCTGGCTGACTGTAAATTTTATCTATGTAATTTTTATTCTGTAAATATTGACTAAGAAGTCAATAAAGATGTTTTAATTGTCAAATTGTCACAACAAACACACACAAAACACACACAACATACAACAACACAACACACACACACACACACGATGCCAAGCGTAGCTTAATGGTTAGGTGTAAGGCTTCGTATTTCCACAACCTTGGTTCGAAACTTAGCCTGGGTGTTTTTCCTTCCTTTATCCCCCTTGTAAATTTGTATCATATATGTATATATTTAATTCTTCATGTAATATATATTTTTTTCTTCTCTTTCTCTCTCTCGTTGCTAAAATGATGTAAAATTGTCTAGAAGACAATAAATAATTTTTAACTGTCAAAATTGTCACACACACACACAAACACACACAACACAGGATATTCCAATATTAAGCCGATATTCAAAGAACAAAGACAAAAGAGCTGGCTAGCATAATTTTTAATATCTTTTCAATCAATAAATAAGGCACCTATAATCTTTTATACAGATTCTCCTGAGAGATACAAAGATGGAGTAGAAAACATATTAAATTATAATCTACAAAGTTATATAAGACATATGTACATATAGAGCCAGGTTATAGTTACTTTCAGATTTCAGTAAGTTATGGGAAAGGGTAGGAGAAAACGCTGGATTTAACAACGAAGAGTGAATCTTTTGAGTATTCTCTTTGCACCGTTTTTATAGATACAGAGCTACAAAATTAATATGGCGACAATAATCATGATGACATGTTTTCAACTGCTAGCCACATATTTGGACTTGAGAGAAAAATATGCTATACTGATCGCTAACTAGAGCGTATTTTGTATTTGATTGTAGAAGTTTATTCAGAGCAAAATCAACGCAATATTTCGAGAGGCCGAACGTCTCTCTTTCTCAAGTGATTATTCACGATATCTATTTCCGTATTTTGTTGATAGGTTTTTATTTAACCGGATCCTATGAATTGAATGTAATCCTTAGGAATATCTATTCCCCTGATTATATTGTTCTTTGCGACTATGGAAAACCAGCTTTCCAAGACAAAATTATTTATAAATGAATAAAACAAAGCTTCAAGGGCTGCGTATCTTTTATTATAACGAATATAATACGAGCTTTCGGGCACATACGCCCTTCTACAGGAATTAATGAAACAATAATCCAACTAGTTTGAAATAGGATTTATATACACGTAACTATTGTTTTGCATATCACGCGCAATTTGAAAAATATTAAAATGTTTAAATTTACATGCAGGTGTAATGATCTGGAAAAACTAATTCTAATTAATATGAGATAATATGATACATTTTGGTTAAGGCAATCTTATTTTGTATTTTATATTTTAAATTTTTTACAAATTTTATAATTTGCAAGGAATCCCATCAGACATGTGATATCTTATACTGTGAATGACTATGTTTTATCTTATTTTATTTAGGTCTATTGAATCATATGCTTCTGGTAAATCAATTATGCGATTTATACTGCTATATTGTTTGGACACTATTGCTTCAATTATTAATCTTTGATATTTTTTATTGCCATTGTTGTAATTATTTATCTTATAAATTCATTTTATACTGTCTAATGAGACTTTATGATATATCTTTTTATACAAAATTGTAGACTATAAATGCTATTTAGCTAAGTTTATAACTTGTAAGATTGGCATCTGTAAAGCATTGAAAACAATAGAAAACTCATGGACAAAACTTATGGAAGTGGACAGTCGTTATTGTCGCCGTTCGTCTATTTTTTTTTTTTTTTTTGGAGACGGAGGCAATTTTGTTTACACTTAGTTATCTCGCGTGTCTTCAATAAAGGTCGCCTTGTATGAAGTATCTTTCAGAGTTATTGACTGAATCCCAATATACATGCTAAAAGATACATATTCCTTATGTTTTGTCCATGAATGAATTTATTTTCTTACGTGGCAGAAATTGACGGAAAACCTTCCCAGATCATCAGCAAGAGAAACTCTTCAAATAAATGTTTCCGTTGTCCATGCAAGACTTTTGGTTTCAGCAGGATCTTTTCTAGATGAAAACTCTTAAGTAGACCTTATTGCGTGACTGCTAAATGATCCTATTTTTGCATTCATAAAAGTTCTCAAAACACCCTAATAATTTTGACCATGTGGCTACTTATTTGAATATATTTTACTTTCTCTGAGACTCCAAAATCAGAATTATTTTAATTTAAATTAATAAATGAGTTACTGTAATATTATATACAGTATTATTTTTGTCAACACATAGTTTATCTCAAAAAAAAAAAAAAAAAGGCGCTCTGCCTTCTGAAAAGCACATGTTCTCCTGGTCAAGATATGCCTACTTTGTTTTTAATATCAACACCTGACCCACTTATTTTTTATTTTTTTTTTCTATCGTTTTTTCATAGTTTATCTCGCAATTGTCAAAATTTCAAAACTTATTTAAGATGAAAATCCTTGAAAAAAAAAAACATTTACAATATTTTTACGTGCCTTAGCCAATTCAATAACACGAGATCTTTGAATAGGCTTGAAAGATCTCAAAATGCCTTACAACTTTGAGAGACTAAATGGAAGGTACCTTTCTTTTCAAAAGGAACATGCAAAAATACCTTTTAGACTAAATATCTCAAGAAGTCCTTTCAAAAGTCAATCCTCTCCAATAATACGAAGCCCCCAGCAGCAGTCCAAGACCTCAAGAGATTCAACCACGTATCTAATAAATGGAGTGTGTATTTTACAACCGTGTATCCCAATTCTAGCCCAAAGAGTACACTCATGGACAAAACTTGAGGAAATTGTATCTTTTAGCATGTATATCAGGATTCAGACAATAACTCTGAAATATATTACAGTGACCTTTATTGAAAACACACGAGATAAACAAGTGTTGAAAAAAATAACCTCTGTCTCCTTAAAAAATAGACCAGCGACACCAAAAACTTTTATAACTTTCTTTAGTTTGTCCATGAGTGTATTTCATATAGCCCCAATAACGTGTTTCCTGAATATATTTACCATCAAACATGAGATTTCAAACAGTATGCAAGCTGTCAGGATCCCTCATAGCTTCGACTATGCAGTTATTGAAATGTGGAAGTATAACCTTTTCCAAGTAGAGCCTCTTTCTAAGTGAAAGCTTTCAAAATGCCTTCATAGCCTTTCCACGTGTCTTCTAACTGAATCTTCCAATAACATGGGATCATAAAACATTGGTGCAAGTCTTACTGTTTTAATCATATAGATGGCAAGTAAACCTGATTTTGCTTCAAAAAACATGGGGTTCAATCCCAATGCAAGCTTTCAAAAGTTCTCATTACCTCAACCATTCAATATCATGAGGCGTTCATACAGTAGTGTAAGTCATCTGGAAACCTAATGGCGTCGACTCTATGTATTCTAAGCAGGTTTATCCTCGCTTGTTATTATTATTATTATATCTAGTACACGTGGTACAGACCATGATAATCATGGTTACTAAAAGTTGGTGACTGCTTTTACTGTAAGTGCACCA